GGCTTGGGTTACCCGTTGAGCCGGTATCCTCGTTTGTTGTTAACATGGCTAATGGTCACCATCTCACTTGTGAATCGAAATGTAAGTCTGTAGGACTCAAGGTGCAAGGGCATATGTTCAGCATAGACCTCCACCCCCTGGAATTTTTTCAGGAGTGGATATAGTCCTTGGGGTAGTACAATGGTTGCAACTATTGGGCCCAGTAGTGTGTAGCTGGGCTGAACTTACTATGCAATTTACGCATCAAGGGAAGCAGTGCATTCTCAAGGGGACCCACACAATATCCGTAGTCGCTGACTCCCCTAATGTCATCCTCAAGAGTTGCCAACACAGGTAAGCAGTGCATTCTCAAGGGAAATGAAGTAGCTACAACAACTACTTCACAATTACTCGGATGTCTTCCAAGAACCCACCACCCTACCACCCCACAGAACCCATGATCACAAAATTCCCATCCAACCGGGGGCCCCACCTGCTAATTTAGACCCTATAGATAGCCCCATTATCAGAGAGCTGAAGTGGAGCACATGGTAAAGGGGTAAGGGGTTCGTTAGGCCCAGCAGTAGCCCATTCTCCTCACCTGTCTTATCGGTGAAGAAGGATGGTAATTGGAGGTTTTGCGTTGATTACCAAGCTTTGAACAATATCACAGTGAAGGACCGCTACCCCATTCCCTTGATTGAAGAATTCCTTGACGAGTTGGGCCAGGCACAATACTTTTTCTAACTTGGATCTGCAGTCTGGGTACCACCAGATCCGTGTCCACACTGAAGATATCCATAAAACGGCCTTCCGGACCTCAGATGGGCATTTTGAATTCCTAGTGATGCCCTTTGGTCTAACTAATGCACCCTCCACATTCAAGAGACTCATGAATGAAATTTTTAAACCCCACTTGCGTCGATTTATACTTGTATTTTTTGATGATATATTGGTATATAGTCCTAACTGGGGTACACATTTGGAGCACCTCCAGCTCACACTTGACTTACGTTTGCACTGATTGTCTGCCAAACCCTCCAAGTGCTCATTCGGCTAGACCCAAATTAATTACCTAAGGCACGTGACAACAGACAGAAAGGTGTGCACAGACCCGAACAAGATCTCTTGTATGGTGAATTGGGCTCGGCCCACTTCTCAAAAGGGCCTCAGGGGGTTCTCCTCGAGTTCATAGGCTACTATCATCGGTTCATTCCAAGGTACAGGCTGCTAGCAACTCCCCTCACCCGTCACTAGGCACTTATAAAAGATTGGCGACTCATTACTATTGGAAGGGCATGGTACAAGAATATGTAACCAAGTGTGCAACTTGCCAACAGCAGAAATACAGCACCCAGACTCCCACCGGCCTACTACAACCCCTACCATACCCGACCGAGTCGGATGAAATCACCATGGACTTCATAACCGGGTTACCCAAATCTAACGGGAAATTAGTGATTTTAGTGGTAGTGGACCGGTTAAGTAAATATGTCCATTTCATTGCCCTCCCTCATCCACATACAGTATCCACAGTCGCCTGAGCTTTCATACAAGAGGTGACCAAGCTTCATGGCACCCCGCAGTCCATACTCACAGATCAGGACCCATTGTTCATGAGCAAGTTTTGGGAGGCTTACTTCTCAGCCCAAGGGGTACAACTTCTTCATTCCACCAGCTACCACCCTCAAACCAACAGCCAATCAGAAGTAGTAAACAGGTGCTTAGAGACTTATTTAAGGTGCTTTACTGGGGAGAAGCCCAAACACTGGGCCCATTGGTTGCCTTGGGTCAAGTATTTGGTATAACACAACTTTCCAAGGATCAGCTGGAACCACTCCCTTCAAGGTGTTATACGGGCGTGATCCTCCCACTGTAAGCACCATGGTAAGGCAAAGGTTGGTCAGTCTTCGAAGGTCCAGAGATGGTGGCGGGAAAAAGAGAGGATGTGGGGAAGAGAGGGGAAGAAAAGAGTGAGAGTTGCTCCTTTGTGAGAAACCCTAGGTCAAAATTATTATTCCGTTGTCTCCTGGGGAAGAATTGCCTTCCCCATTTTATAGAGAAAGTTAAGGCTATCAAGGAAAGAGTTATTTCTTGTTAGGAAAGAGGATTTCTCCTATTAGGAAATGAGATCTTATTAAGGGATCATTATTAGAAAACCCTATCCCTTTCGGATTCTCTGTATGTGACCCTATTATACTGACATGGTGTGGGTGATGTCATCGGGCGTACTTTCACTAAACCCACATGTGTAATTTAAAGACGCACGTGTAACCGGCATTTATTCCCGATCTACTGTGATTCCACAGTTCTGTAATGGTATCGGGTTCATCGCAACTCCGCGCGTATTCGAGGTTCATCACAAATCCGCGCGTCTTAACTTTACTGCAAATTTGCGCTAGCCGAAGTTTATTGCGACCTATCCCGGGTATGAGTTCATCGCAATCGCAAATATGTGATGAACTCGTTGAAACGTGCGATGGGTTATGGATTCATCACAGGTGTCCATGTAGCGTTGGTTTGACACCCTATGTACTTTGATGGTCTTACCAACCACTAATACCTACATTAGCCCCCATGCTTATCGGTAAGTGGGAACTTACTAATAAGCATTTTTTGTCATCGTGTTTGCTATTGGGGTTTCGCAATGGGGCGATGAAGAACAGTTTTGAAGATATTGTGGCATTCTGATCTTTTCGCATTAGGTCTGGTGATCGTTCCTATTCTTGATGAGATGCTCCGCACGCTTTGTGTGCAGAAAAATTTTATTTGGGTATGTTTGGTAGCCCCCCTGCTTATTGACAAGTATGCATTGTGGTATTCAACTTAGTAATGTTCTTGGACGGAAATCGAAAGTTTTCATTTTGTAATTCAGCCCTCCTGTCTTTTTGACAGGGTGTCATGTTGACTCGTACTTGCTTTCGAGATCATCGGAGTCTTTTTTAGTCTTTTTGAAGGTGTAAGTGACGGAAACATAATAGGAGCATTTTGTAAGGTATAGCTCAATACTTTCTGTACTTTATAAGCACCATGGTAAGGCGGAGGTTGGTCAGTCTCCAAAGGTCCGAAGATGGCGGCAAGAAAGAGAGAGGATGTGGGGAAGAGAGGGGAAGAAAAGAGAGAGAGTTGCTCCTTTGTGAGAAACCCTAGGTCAAAATTATTATTTTGTTGTCTCCTAGGAAAAATTGCTCTCCTCCTTTTATAGAGAGAGTTAAGGCTATCATGGAATGAGTTCTTTCCTATTAGGAAAGAGGATTTCTCCTATGAGGAAAGGAGATCTTATTAATGATCTATTTGGTTGCTGAGAAAAAGATGGGATGGGAAGCATCTTTAAAGAATATTCTATTTTCCATATGTTTATTTTGGAAGAAAAGCTAGGATTGAGAGAGAAAGAGGTGGGACGCGGGTTCCCAAAAATCGATACATGGGGTCGCACCAAAATGGTGAGACCTCGGTGGGAAAAGTAAATTTGGCCATTTGTGAGAAAATATTATTGAGAGCACCTTGAAAACAGTCATTCTCTTCCTACACGCCATCCAACAATCATCTCTCCGGCGATTCCTTTTAGCTTAAATCTGGCATCCCTTTGAGATTTTCGTTCTTTTTGGTATTGTTTTTGTCTTCGTTCATTTTATGAGTCCCCCCCCTTCGTCTCATCGTCGTCTTCTTTCGTTGAGTGAGTTCCCCCTTCAAATCCCAGCACCAGATCTGGCATTTCCGTTTTTTGTAGTTGGAAACTCTCTGGTGTTATGTTGGGAAACAGATCTTCCGTTTTTTTGTTGTTGGGAACTCATTAATGTTATTTTTTATTTTTGATTTGTTCCAAATCTGCAATAATTGTGATTATATTTAGTTTTTGATTTTTGATTTATTGTTGGGAATTCATTGTCCAGATCTTCCGGTTTTATGTTTGATGTTTAGTATTGCTCTTTTTAAGTCATCTCAGTTTTTTTTTTTTTTTTTTTTGAGCTACTGAAGGTACAATAGATTTTTTTTCTTTTTTCTATTGACTCTTACTCTATTAATGATGTTTATTATTGCTCTTTCTTATTTTTCTATTGAACACTAATACGTATTTAGCTGATTCTTTTCCTTATTGTATTTGTTCGACCCAATTTTTACCATATTCTTTGTTTAGGTATAATTTCTTCTACCATATTAATTTTCTGATTTTTCTAGTTTTCTTTGTGGAACTGTAAGATAGTTTTTAATGGTTACAGACATCTTGAGATATTATTTTTCTGGCTTTTAGTTGTAGTATATTAATAAGAATGCTAGATTAAGGTGCCAATAACTCGAAATGAAACTGAGAAGAGCAGGAAATATATATACTTTCTTCTCCAAAAACCAGGATTTTGGTTTCTTCAACCTCACATGTTTCATTGTTCAAATACTATTGTGCCACGTCGTCCCCAAAACAAGTATTGTAAAAATGCATGGATTTGTCAAATTGGGATGGATCTAACAATCCTGTAAAATTTTCTCATCAATCAAACACTGGAAAACAGATTTAGCAGGATAACTGGTCTCAGCAACCAAACACAGGTGACAGAATTGAGAAAAAAAAATTCTCTTTTCATCACATCTTTTCTCATCCCATCCCATCATTTCTCAGCAACCAAATGGACTCTAAGGGATCATTATTAGAGAATCATATCCCTTACGGATTCTCTGTATGTAACCCTATTATACTGACGTGGCGTGGGTGATATTATCGGGCATACTTTCACTAAACCCGCATGTGTAATTTAAAGATGCATGTGTAATTGACATTTATTCCCGATCTACTGTGATTCCGTAGATCTGTAATGGTGTCGGGTTCATCACAACTTCGTGCGTATCCAAGGTTCATCACAACTCCGCGCGTGTTTGGGGTTCATCGCAAATCCGCGTATGTCTTAGCTTTATCGTAGATTCGTACTAGTCGAAACTTATTGCGACCTGTCCCGGGTATGAATTCATCGCAATCGCAAATCTACGATGAATTCGTTGCAAACATGCAATGGATTATGAATTCATCGTAGTTATCCATGTAGCATTGATTTGACACCCTCTATACCTTGATGGTCTTAACAACCACTATGTACCTACGCCCACCATCCTCCCTTATGAACCAGGCACTTCCGCAATGGCAGTGGTTGAATATCATTTGACAACTAGTGACAACATATTGAAAGATCTCAAGTTTCACCTCCACCAGGCCTAGCAGCGTACGAAGTTGGCTTATGATAAAGAAGCACCGAGAGTTGGAGTTTGCAAGGGGTGATTGGGTCCATTTGAAGCTTCAGTCGTATAGGCAAACATCAATGGCCAATCAGCCATCGCAGAAATTGGGCCCACAATACTTTGGGCCTTTTCAAGTGACAGCACGTTGAGTCAATAGCTTACCACTTGGACCTTCCTGTCGAGTCTAAGTTGCATCCAATATTCCACGTCAGTTTCTCGAATCCATGCTTGGCTTGGCTGCCCCAGTTATGAAGGGGAATTAATTTGAGAACCCCCCCGAAGATGCCAGATGGGAGGACTTTGATCAACTACAGTAGCAATTTCCTAACGTTGACCTTGAAGGCAACCAGCCCAGCACTGAAGGCCTAGGCCCATCACCAGACCCATAACTTCCCTCAAATTAGTTGCTTGACGTCACCCTCAAGGTTTGTTTACGTTCGTCGTCCATGTAAGGAGAATTGAACAAGAAACAGTTAGCCATCATTATCTAACCTCTACATGAGGTTATAAATATCTTGTAATAATCATTTTGAGGCAAGAGAAAAACCCTACTTTTCTTCTTCTTCTTCTCCCTCTTTTCAGTCCATTTCAGGAGGGTGAGCTCCCTCGAATCAGCTCCAGTCACTTGAGAATTTGTTTGAGAAGCAAGGGTTTTATCAGTCTACCTTTTCCTTTTAGTCTTGTCTGTTTTCTCTGGAGTTGAAAGGTAAAAACATGGAAATCAGTTCTACTATTTTTCCTAGGGAAATTGACAAAAACATTCATAGAAACCTAGGTTTACTTTTTTTCCTTGCATGTCAATAAGATATTGATATCCAAACAAAAATCAAGAAATCTAAAAGTTTGCAGCAATAAAATCAGAACTTTAGCAACTCATGTACACCTAAGTTTGCAGCAATTAATGCAGAAAGTTCAGAAAATATAATGAATAAACTCACCATTAGAGGAAAGTAAGTGTTGTTTGCATCTCATATCCATTGTTAACTGCAACTGATCTGAGCTGGTTAAATCAATGGCAGCAGCCTTTGCAAGTCCTTTGCACTGCTCCCAATCCAGATCCCCAATCAAATAAAATGAAGTAGATTGATTACTCAGTGATTGACCACTCAAAAACTGCCAACTGGTAGCATTCAGCTGGAAGCAACCATAGCAAGTGTAGTTTCGCATGAATCCTGAGCTGAGGCATGGATGTCTAAGTTTGAATCTGCCATCAATACTCTCCATAGGAAATTGCTCCCCAGTTAGAATAACAATGGACCTATCAAATGCCTCATTTAGGCCAAACGATGGCAGCGAGTATGCTAAAACTTGGTGTTAAATGGAGCCAAGTTTTGACATGAAAAAATGTGTATCTTCTCTAGATTCATCTATTTCCATAACCACCTGCAAAGATGAACCCCCCAAATCAAGAACTCCTAAAGTAGGAACTTTCATGGAGTTTTCCAGGCTCCCCATCTTGTAATTAAGGGCAACCCAACCATAATAAGCCTCTTCTTTTCCATTTAACACCCTTATTGAACTTCTTGTATATAAAAAAGGATATTCCTTTATAATAGTCTCTGCATTTTCCAAAATCCAATCAGCATCCTCATTTGGCAACCTTCGTAATCCAGCAGTAGCTAGAAGGAAGAGTGGAGTATCTCCTAGTTTCTCAGAGGGTATTTGTTGCTGTGCCCAAAGAAGCAATGTCTCCAATGCTGCCCTTATTCCAGAAGAATTATGCAGAAAGCTATCCAGGGCAGGCTCAGCTTGCATGCAGTGATCACGACAAGCATTCCTTTGGAGAGGATTCTTTGTTGAATGGTCTGGAAGCGAATGCAGCAAGGTTGGCAGGTCTTGATTGCTTGTGATGTTATTTAACCACTCATAGGCATTTACTCTAGTACCAGTGCTTCCACAGTCCAGAACTACAGTGAAATATGATTGCTTTCCTACAAAATTAACTTTCCCTGGAATAAATGAATTAGAAACACCAATCCATATCAGCACCATAACTAAAAGGATTATGCTGATTTTCATGCATCCTCTATATTGGGGGAATCCTATCAATGTGGAAGATTAAATCTGGTTCGTGTTCTGGATTCCATGGCAAACCTAGAGAAATGGTTGAATTATGAAGAAAGAAACTTCTAGGTCCTCTTGATCCTTTGATTCCTTCCAACAATAAGATTTAGCAAGTTTCCAGTCTTCCAGATAAAAAGAGTCTTCCAATACGGAGAAGACCTGGGGAAGGAATTGAGTTGCATAAACCTGGATCAATGACATGAACTTGGGTGGCCCAGACATTGCAGAAAGAATAGATCACCATCATAAAATACAGTCCGACAATTCCAAACAACTAAAATGACTATCTAACGAGTGCAAGAAGCATAATTCATGGGTCTCCAACATCTGCTTGCGTATTGTCGCTGGTGACTGACAGAGCAACATACACTCTGTCCGATAAATGTTCACTGCACAATTGATATTAAAAAATTTCAACAAAGTTAACAAGGAACTAAGCATGGCTAGCATTGCTAGAAATATGAAATAGCCATATATCACATTATAGGCATGAATGCCGCACGCTGCGTGCTGAGATGAGATCTGAAGACGTTTAAGCAGTATTTGGTTTGGAAGAAAACAAAAGAAAATCAGAAAGTTGATGGAAAGTTCTTAAGGAATTTCACAAATTTTGTTAAGAACTTTCCCTCGAAATTCTGATTATCTCTTATTTTCTGTCAAACCATAAACATAGCCTTGGCTTTGAATATCTAATGATGGGTGAAACCTATACGATATATGAGGTGTGATCCATAAAGGATCTTACCACTGAAATTCCACTCTCCATGTAAATCAAGTAGGTAAACGACCGTTCAATTTTCTTATACGATATAAGAACGAGAACCCCGACCCAAAGAAAAATCAAAAGAAAATGACAAACTTGTTTACTGAAAAACTCAAACGGTACGTGTTGAATAGATAGAAAGCTATAACATTTGATGGGGAAAAAAAGATGCAATTAAAGCTCCAACTGCCATTCAACGCCAAGAAATTTAGAAAACTAGCATCACAAATTTGGGTGGCGAAAATCATTCTCCGCGTGAAAAGCAAGATGCAAACAGCCAATCAAGTATGCAGATCAAACATGCCGTACTTTCTAGTATTCATGAAAATCCATATCAAAATCAACTAACCAGAGAAACAATTACAAGGAAAAAATAATAAAATACCTCAGCGTAATAAATTCCCCCAACTCTCTTGCTCTGTCTGCCTGTCTGCTATTCTTTGCTCTTTGCTCTCCGCCTTCCCTTTATAAGTTCTCTTCTAAGTTTCCACTTGTAGGAAAACAGGCAGCAGAGTGGAAGAAAGATGAGAAAGGAAAAATAAGTGCAAATCAAAGCCCAATTCCTCCCCCATCATTGTATACGCGACGATAGGGAGCAGCTGCGGTTTCTTACCGTGCACACGCTGACTACCATGTTGGGATCTACTGATCGTGGCACAATAAACAACAACCGCACATCGGGAACATCTTTTGATGAATTGAATGGTAATATAAAGCTTGTGGCTGTAGAGTCTTAACTCTCAGAGATGGGCTTCAGTCAGTGCACGATTCGTTCGACTACCGTTCGAACAGCCTTCACAGATTGCATAGGAATATCTCCTATCAAATAGAACATAAAAGTACGGAGATGTTTTCATACAAGCTGTAAAGGCTGTTCCAACGGTGTTCGAACGAATCGTTCACTACTCACTGAAGCCGATTTCCCCGGAATAAGTCCAAATGGGTTTTGCGCATCTTTTTGGCCTTTCGTTTTTTAGGAGCTAAATTCTGTGAGTCAAATGGGAATAGATCAAAATTCAGTCTATCCGATTTATAAATAGTTGAAAGACAGCGTGGAAAGATACGCCAAACGGGTTCTAAATTATTGTAAGTGTATGATCACGGAGGTTGGCTTCAAGACAAATTCATATTCACACCATTTTAACAGCCTCTTGCAATTTTGTATTGGGAATATCTCCCCATGAAATAAAACACATGAATAGGGAAATATTCTCAATGCAAGGCCATAAAAAAGTCTGTTTGAATGGGCATTGCCTTGACGAAAGCTGAACTCATGATCATGGTGTAGGGTGGAGTTAGGGGTGTTCAAATTTGGTTGATAAATCGAAAAACAAACTGAACCAAACCAAACCAAATAAGTTAATTTGATTCGGTTAATTCGGCTATTAGTTCTATTTTTATTAAAAAAACAATTTCCGATTTTAACTCAATTTGATTGAAATTTTCAACTAATCAAACCGAAAATTGAATTAATGTTGTTATTTAGTTAAATATATTAAACATTAATATTTTACTTAATACTTTATGCTAATCACTTTTTATATTTTCCAATGAACAATTAATAATAGTTAATTAAAACCTAGACTCATTATTAATTGTTTATTAGTCATTAATTGTTCATTAATCATTAATTATTTTTGAAAATGGTCAATTTGCCAATTCCCCATTGGCATATGGCTTTGGACCTATTTTAGCTTTTAATTAATAATAGCAAATTAATTAAAACCATTGGGCTTTGGGGTCATTCTAACTTTTAATTAATAATAATAAATTAATTAAAACCATTGGGTTTTGAGGCTATTTAAACTTTTCATTAATAACACTTATTAAATGCTTATCATTCATGTGGAACCAGGGACCAAACTGAATTCGATTAAGGTTGATTCGATTCTAAAATATAATTTGATTTGATTCGGTTAGAGGAAATAGTAAAACCAAATAGTCGATTAGGTCATCGATTTGAACTGAATCGAACCGAACCAGACCAAACCAAACAATTGTACACCTCTAGGTGGAGTTAAAATTTCTAAAATGGGTTTCACTAAGGCCATGTTTGGTTTGAAGGATAAGGTAGGAAAAGGAAGGGGAGGACAGGAAAACTAATACAAGGCTTGTATAGGTTTTCCTACCTTTCCCTACATTTTTTTAGGGAGAATGACAGTTCAGCCCAAGGTGAAAAATTTTAGGCCCAAAGTACAATTGGGGTGGGTGCCAACTCTGAATTGATACTAATATACAGGTGGGCATTAGTGTATAGAGTGGGAGATTTTGATATTTTTCATATTTATAGTTCTGCACTAGAATTCAGAAATCTGCATTGGGCTTGTTCGTAATTTTCCTTTTTTTTTAATATTTCATAGACATATTATTTCGTGCAAAATATATATGGAAACAATGGCATTTACAATGAGTTACTTAACCAATCCCAAGTGAACACAAGTTGAATAACTAATCCTGATTGAACACAACGTATATAATGGTTATATGACCATGAACCCAATGGTATTCTATGTACATATAGTCCATTATGCTTGCAAGCATAAACAATAGAACCCGACCTAATGGAACCGGTTACAATTACATGGTATTTCTCGGCCAAGGTTCAAATAAAAAAACAAAAATAAATATTTTTTCTAGTAAAACAAAAATGGGTAAATCTCTTAAACTATCTCTACTTTCATGAAATTGACATGCGGTATTACTGTTTAGCTATTGTTTTACCGTTAATGTTAAAACGAAATGGAACGTCAAATTTGTCCTCCACTATTCCTCAAATTTCATCCCCTCTTCTTATTCTCTTTCTCTGCTTATCTTTCATCTATCTTCATCTCTGTTCATCGTCTTCTACACAATGAACAGAGAACTACCATAGCGTCATCGTAGTCGAAAATGATGGCAGCCATTGCTGTTTTGCCCAAGAAACTGCGGTGTTCCTCTAGTAAACGAAGCTCGTCGATCTTAGAGAGATGCTAGTGGTCGAAGGAGTGGGGTCTTCAGACTTGCTGGCATGGAATATCGGCTGAAAATCCAACTTCCGAAGTTGGTGGTATTTGCAGACAAGAAGCCAACGCTTTTTTATGACCAAAAACGAGCCAAGCATATATAATGGTTGAGCACCTCCATTGACACCCATCTCCCGGTCTACATTGTACTATTTCTGCAAATGCGTTCTTTCTTTTGGATCAAAAAACTAAACAGACACCATGGGTCTCTGCACAGTAGGGGAGACCATTAAGAATGGGCATGGCTTTGGTTTGTTTTATTTGATTGGATCGATGGCCAGATGGTGGAGTCGGGATGAAGGACAACAACCGGCTATAGAATGATGATGGCGGAACGCGGAAGATTCAACGGCAATGTCAGTCCACGTTTGCAGTGGTAGGTATTCACGATTGCATAAATATGAGAGGTAGAGGTGGTTCGGTGGTCGGAGAGAGAGGATTTCGAGATTAAGGGATAGTGGTGAAACGAAATAGGGAAGACTGGAGAGATTAAGAGTCAAGATTTTTTTTTGAGCCCAGATGTCCATTAATGGTCTGAACTCCACTAAATTCAATGGTTTTGAGCGACCGCTAGCAGCACCTACATAGCCACTACCACCGCCAATTCTATAGTTTCCGCCACTGCCAGATCCATAGCCTCCACCAGCACCGCCACCGCCTCTGAGAATGGAGGTTTGAGAATGAAGCTCGATCGTTCTCAGTTGAACCAAATGAGCAATAAAAACAGTTGTGGTCGAAAATTTAAATTTTTTTAGACAGGAAACGGTAAAAGATGAAGAAAGATGAAACTAACTTGTCAATTCGGTTCCTGAGCTTTCGCAGGAACTTCTCATTATCTTCTTCAGCAACCCTAAAGATCCTCTCAATAAATTCATGGCGATCGTTTATGTCAAGCTTGCGAACATCGACCTCCTTGTGGACGAACTTGTTCCCCTGGCTTTCATTTTCCACGAAAGATTTAAAGATGGAGAGGTTCTCAGGCGATCATACGTCGGCAACTTCTCCAAAGCAGCCCATTTGAGAGCCTCTTCGTCTTCGTCGGCATGAGTGCTTCTCCTTGAACCCATGGACCTCGCGAAGATGTCTTCCACGCCCCTACTACCCCTGCTTTTGCTCCTACTCATGCTCTGACTTACTCGCCTTCCCGCACCCAAATGAATACTTGAACAAATAGTCTGTCGGTAAGCGTTTTGGTTAAATGAAAGAGAGAGAGAGAGAGAGAGAGAGTTACGATTCACTCCTTGGACTAATTTTATATCACAAAGAAGTTTTTTACGACTCCCCTGTTTCTTCATCGTGGCATTCAACATGGTCTCTCTCTGAAAAGGACTTGGTGCCAGAAAAACCTAGCGACGCCGGCGAAAGTGGTCAGATGGCAGTGGTGGCGATGGATGGCGGTGGAGAGAATAATTGCAGAGTGGTTTGTTGTAGTTACCGCCGGGAGAGGGACGAAGGGCAAGATTGGGTTTTGAAAAAAAATTATAACGAGTCACTTGTCAGACGTACTGCAAGACAATAACTGTTTAGATTTCCAACAAAAATAATAAAGATTTACCCAAATTATAAGAGAATCTAATGGTTGGCTAACGCTGAGCACGAGGATTTTAGTCATTAATCAATTGTGTAAATTAGTCCTTAAGATTGTGTTTGGTTGCAGTTCAATTTTATTTGTACTAGTACAAATGTATGAGAATGCAAATGAAAAAAAAAATGCAAATTCTCATTTAATTTTATTTTAGGTTTTACTTTATTCTGCATCATGTTCTAATTTATTTTATTTGTACTACAATCAAACAACATAAGCTAAAATTTGAAACAAAACTATCTCAGAATTTACACCCAAATCATTTGCACTGCCATAGTTTTGCATTAGTACAAATTTATTTGTATTGCAATCAAACATAGCCTAAGGATAAATTTGGAAGAGTATAAATACAAATATGTATAGCACAAATTATACATGTTCATAGGTTGAGCTTTGGGTTTAGGCTTTGGGCCAGGCTCATCCAAATTTTGGCAAAAGCCAAGCCTACCCTATAATTCGTGTTTTACTAAAACTCCCCCTATAGTTTGCAATCAATTTATTTAATGGACCTTCCATTTGATGACGATGAATAATAGCAATTTTGACCCTAATATCTATTTGAATTAATTTAATTAAAAGAAAATAAAAACACCATTTTTACCCCAATAAGACATGAGTAACCACTATATTTAGTTTTATTTGGTCAATTTAGTTTTCTATACAAAGAAGTTTTAAGGGTATTTTTCAAATAAATAATCATGGATTCATGCCCATGAACATTTTTCAATCAGTTTAGGCGATTATGTTAATATTTTCAAATAGCAAAACAAACACTTCTTAGTGAAAGGTTTGTTAAGTAAATATATTGCAAAGTATATGGAGTGTTTTAGTAAAATGAAAACTATATGATAGGTTTAAGTAATTCCATGATTCTATAGGGGTGCTCTAGTAAATAACCCTATAAAATAAAACAAAAGTATAAGGTTTTGCATTTTACATGGTAGGTTTAGTAACTTTTGGGGTATCCCACCTTTGCTTTTTTATGCTAGCAAGGAAAGAAAAAAATGTTACTCCAAATGAAAAAACTTTGATTGTTTGTATGAATATTTTAGCTACGTTTGACACCCTTGTTCATGGTTTTCAAAACTGGACCGGACCGGATGGTTAGATTGGAAAAATTGGGACATTTTACCCTAGAACCATTATTTCGCCAAAAAACCGTTGATTTGGTCAACAACCCAT